AGCAACCATCCTCAGGAGGCCCAGTCAGAAAAGCCTTAGATCAGACTCAGGGTAGAGTTTCCAAAGTCACTGAATTTAACCCTTGTGTAATGCACTGGACCACAAGGTTGGTTTGAACCTCAAGGTTCAAAATCACTATTCACTCCTTGGAAACCCTACAAAGGATCACTATATAGACGACCCTGAAAAATCAAAACAAAGCAAAAACAGCCAAAGCTCAATCAAGTGGTATTTCTCACAAGCCTGTTGGGAAGAAAAGGAATGCCTGAACTTCTTTCACTCTCTCTACTCCAGCACACTCAGATGTTCTCTGCTGTGCATAATTGGATCTGCTTAAAATAAGGATGTGATTCGAAACCTTTCTTCCAGATACACCCTTTGTTTGCTGCTTTGCAATCTTCCTTGAGGCACATGAAGTTGCCTCATAGTTTTTGAGATTTAATAAGAAATATTTAATTAGACACAGTGGTTGCAGAAGTAACTAGACAACCAGAAGTCTCCATACGGTTCTGAGCTCCACAGTGCATGTGATGCCATTTCCACAAAGAGAAACTAGAGTCTAAGCATCTCTCCATTCCATACAGCACATTCATCTTATCACTCAGGTCTTCATCTGTGCCACAATCTCAGAAACCTTTGCTCAGCCTCCTGGTCTACTTGATGGAAAGCTACTTTAGGTTTTCTTTCTGTTCTTCAGGACTTTGAGGAGATGGTGCTATGACCTATGTTCAGGTACATCCCACCACACAGGATGAGAGGCTGGTTCTCATTTACTTAAAAACCTGTCAGGTTTCTAAAGTTCTTAAGCCCTTTTGCCTCCCCAATTTTTCAGCACCTCTAAAGAGAACAGCTTTATTAATACTACTCCAAATCTAGTGAACCTTCATCCATGACTTAGAGTTTCATTCACAGTCACAGACTAGTTGTTAAAACCACAAACCCTGAAGTCAAACCATGTGGATTCATGATGCTACTTTACAAACTGTTTGTGTGGCATTGATCAAACGACTTGACCTTCTTTGCCTCAGTTTCCATATCTCTGAAACTCTGAAAGTATGATGTCTACTTAATAGTGCCAATTTCTAATTAATCAAGATACAGTATTTAGAACGTTATGAAGAATATAACATATTATGCCATTAGTTTTTATTATTATTACAGTATTTCTAGTTATTATTATCATGAAAATCAGACTGAATACCTTAGCAGAGTCACCTGGAAACAGCTTTAAGTGAACTGAGAGTAGATTTCATCAACAGTAATATTACGTCCTTGGACAGTCTGTTGACTACCTGGTATACAAGCTTGACATCAGTTTATACTAAATCTTTCATAGCTTAAATCATCCTCACAGAAAATATTCAATGTATTTCATTAAGAAATCCCTGAGAGGTTAAGTTGTCACTTAAGAGTCCCTCTCTCTTACACATTTCATATTTAACATGCTTAATCTTTTCACTTTTACTCCAATACCTAATCTTGACTCACAAGCAGAAATATGTATATATGTATCTGCCATCATAACTGTGGGATTTTCTCCACTATAATTCCTTCAAGGTTGTCCTCTAAGGGCTTAGCAATATGCCACATTAAGAATATGCTCCTTAATCATGATTGTGTACAGTGGGGTATAGGGGTGCTATCCACTTAGGAGTCAAGATATTAATTTAAAAGGACATGACCTGAAAAAATTTCATGACATATAATGGAATCATAGAATAAAATAGCACTGCAAAAAGATCAGAGTAGGGCATAAAGTAAGTATAGTGTCGTGGATGATTTGGCTATCAATACTTCCTATACGCTGTGTTTGTGGATACACTGGAGATATGAAACTGTGAAGTTCTCTACCTTAAGAAATCCCTACATTGCATTAATCCTGGCCTTCCAGACTAAGACAGATTTGGAAGAACTAAAGACAGACTACCTCTGAATGTTTAGTCACTGAAAACCTTATGAATAGCAGTGGAACACTGTCAGTTCCATAACGTTGAATACTGAAACATGATGAAGATCCCCAGAATACTGTCAGATATAGTGCCAGAAGATGAGCCCTCATGTTGGAAGGCATCAAAACATGGCTGAGGAAGAATTGTTGACTTGCCTCAAAGTAGAGTTGCCCGTGATGACATGAATGGAGGAAAACCTTTAGGACCTTCACTTGTTGATGGATCACACTCAAAATAAGGAGAAACAGCTGCATAAATATGAAAATACCTACAAAGAAGACATGTTAATATCATCGACTCAGCTGGGTTTTCTAAAGAACCAAAACCAGTGAAATATATATATTTATGAAGTAATATATATATAAAGGGAAGTTTATTATCAAGGAAATAGTATACAAATTGCAGACTACCAGGTCCTCAGTGGAAGAGAGAGATAGAGGCCCTCATGAATATCAATTATATTGGGAGCAGGCCACACTCCTAAGCAAGCATCCCTTAAATTGATTGGCTGCTCATAACCGCTCACCATAGAGCTAGCTAAGCCTGTATTAGGTTTCATCACCATGGGAATAAGCACATCTCAACTGCTGTTGTTTTTGTTGTTGTCAGGTGCCATTGAGTCGGAACTGACTCATAGCGACCCCATGCACAGCAGAACAAAACAATATGTGATCCTGGGCCAACCTCACTACCACTGCCACACTTGACACCATCAATGAAGCCACTTGGCCGATCCATCTCATTGGGGGTCTTCCTCTTTTTCTCTGACCCTCTATCTTACCCAACATGACATCTTTCTCCAGCGACTGTTCCCTCCTGACAATATGTCCAAAGTATGAGAGACGAAGCTTAGCCACTCTGGCCTCCAAGGAGCACTCTGGCTGCACTTCTTCCAAAACTGATCTATTGGTTCTTTTGGCAGTCCATGGCACTTTCAGTATTCTCCTCCAACACCACAACTAAAAGGCATCAATTCTTCTACGGTCTTCCTTATTCACTGTCCAGCTTCCGCATCCATATGAGGTTATTGAAAATACCATGACTTGGGTCAGGCGCATCTTAGTCCTCAAGCTGATATCACAGCTATTCAACACTTTAAAAAAAGTTCCTGTGCAGGAGATTTGCCCAATCTCAACTGCCAAACCTCTGTAAATCCTGGTCTAGTCAAGTTTACACAAAATCCTAACTATTACAATCCACCCTTGTTAACTGTTGTTGTTGTTGTTAAGTGCCGTCGAGTCGGTTCCGACCCATAGCAACCCTGTACAGGGTTTCCGAGGCTGTAAATCTTTACAGGAGCAGAACGCCTCATCTTTCTCCCACGGAGCGGCTGGTAGTTTCGAACTGCTGGCCTTAAGGTTTGCAGCCTGATTCGTAACCACTACGCTACCAGAGCCCCTTGTTAACTAGAAATGTATAAATTGGATGCATAAACTCTAAAGTTGTGAAGTCGTACTTGTGCCTAACATGATATAACTAAAACATGTACAACTGACCCCATTTACATCTTGTAAGTCACAAATGAACAAAGTAAACGTATTTGATGCACACATACAAAACAAATCAGAAACTATTTTTTCATTTAAATTTCCAAAGGGCACATTCTGCAAGTCAGCCTCCTGTCCCTAGGTGCACAGCTTTACTCAGTCAGGGGCCTAGAGTCCATAGCTGCTCTGACTCCCCATGCCTCCGCCTATGCCCTCTCTCTGCGGTCATCACCTTTCCAGGCAAGGGTCACATGCTCTACTCATTTTCTTCCTTTTTGATGGTAATGGGATCATTTGATCCTAAAACAAGAGAAATCTATTCCCTCCTTTTAGTTACACATCTTCTACAATTACAGTTTTGACAAGCACAATCAATCCTATTAACAATTACTCACAATTGAAATCATAAATTCCTATAAGCATAGCTCCCCACACGTCTCACCAGACCCATCTGGGCAAGAGGAAAACTAGTCAGTGGGGTTTTATCATATCCCCTCACTCTAGGTACACCCATGAATGTTTTTAAGTCAGTCACTTCATGCCTTTATTATCCCCCCCCATTTTTCATAGGGATTATCTAAATTGCCCATCCCTATCAACCCAGTACACTGAGGAGATGATCATGTTCCTTAATACGAAGACTCCTTCATTCCTGTAGGAATCTTGTGCAATTACATTCATTAACAAAATTACGGTCCAAAAAATTTTAGAAATTGACACTTTCTCAGAATATCAACTATCTTTATCTGGTCAGGTTCTGATTATCATAACCCTATGCAGAGTTCTAGTGTGATGCTCTGGGTTAATGTACTGGACAGACAGCAAGGTCAGTTTTAATCACAATGTCGACAGTTTAAGCTCACCAGCCGCTCCTTGAATGCTATGGGTCAGAACCAACTCGATGGCATTTAACAACAACAGTCACCCTAGGTAAGTCACATGGGTCCCAGACACAAGTTTGGGAATTAGCACATCCCTCCTTGCATGTGCTTCACTCTCAGCCCTAGACACCATGGGCTAGGTCAGGGCCCACAGGCTCTGTAGTTGATAAAACTCCCTAAACTTCACACCAGCCAGCCTTCCTCCTCTTATCTCAAGGTCAGCAGGTGCCAACAGAGCATGTCCAAACTCAGTGCATGTCTTCATTGCTGCATTTCAACCAATTCCAATTCTCCTTACCTGGCAAGGGGGGGTATCAAGGTTTTGAAAGTTGTTTAAGATTCTAATTATCTAATATAATTATTGTAACAGGTCCTGCTTAGAATTTAAAGATTGGTTTCACTTTTGATATATGAACTCTGATCGATGCTAAACCCCAACATTATTTTGTCTGTCCTTTCTTAAATTAGGACAGGCACTGTCTATGTCAAAGCTACTGGGAATGAGGAGAAAGAATGAGAGTAAGGGTTCTGAGGAGTCATCCCAGCCCCTTCTTCAAAACGATGCCAGTATCTTTACTGAGTAGGTGCATCTGAAAACACAATGAGCAGATGGAGGCACAAAGAGAAGCAGCAGAGAGAGACCAGTCTCAGACATCTGATCCCTGGGGTAGTGGGGTTTATGTTCAAGCATGTGACACTGTGGGAGGGAAGTCAGTTGAATGTTTACAGTAATAAGTACCAACATCATCAGCTTTCATACTGCTGATGGTGAGAGTAAAGTCTGTCTCAGACCCACTCCCACTGAACCGGTCGGAGATGCCGTGGGCCCTGCTGGATACAGCATAGATGAGGAGCCTGGGAGCCTGCCCAGGTTTCTGCTGATACCAGGATAAGTAGCTGCGAACACTCTGACTGGACCTGCAGGTGAGGGAGACTCTTTCACCAGGAGACAGAGAGAGGGAAGCTGGGGACTGAGTCATCACAATGTCTCCCATGGTATCTAAAGTTGAAAATAAGACACAAAGTCACAAATATGATCTGACCATACCAAATTGTCTTCCTAGCAGACCCAATCTATAGTGTACATAAAGTCTATATTGAGTTTTATTTATTTTGCTTGCCTAGCAAAGGTGTCAGGTCCCAGGACCTAAAATTATTGAAAAAAGTTTTCAGTAAGAGAACCATTCCTATTGCCCTCACCTGGGAGCCAGAACACTAGCAGGCAGAGAAGCTGAGCTGGGCCTTCCATGGTTCACTCTGTGCCCCAAGTGAGACAGATCT